ATATAAATAAATCATGGCCTGTGTTTCTTGAACACTAATTGATCATTCTTTCTTTCTTTCTTCCTTACTCCTTCTTTCCTGTCTTTTACTCCTCCAGGCAGGTAATGGGGACCACAATCCTTCTGCCTTCAGGTTGTAGAAGGGAAAGAATATAGCACCTGTGTCCTCAGCCTACTGTCAAAGTGATTAGCTTTGCAGCTGCAGTGAATTACATACTTTCTGTCACTTGTGATCTCATTTCTGACAAGTTGGCTTTATAGTATGATGAGAAAATAAGATAAGACTGTGTTTTATTCTCAAATTATAAAACTAATGAGAAATTAAACCAAAATAAAAGTCATGGAACACATTGAGGAGGACCCTGAAACCTTGGAAAGCTTGTCTCTCGGTTGTGTAAAACAACACACGGCTCCCAGTTGCCTCCCACATTAATTTTATTAAAACATTTTATCAGAGTATGAATGCAATTTGTATCTGACTAGGGGACTAAAGTGAGGGAGGATGGAAAAGAGCTAGGGAAATATTGTAATAGTCAAGGAATTAGGTGGTAAAGACAGATAAGCTTTAGAAGCTGGAGAAAATTTGAGTCTGGCACTAAACACTGGGATCCAACTTAAAAATCTGTGACTGGTCAAAGGGGTTAGATTGAGTTCTACCCCTGGAGTGTTTTCATAGGAAATCCAGATTCCTCATCATCCCTCCGTGACTTTCTGAAATGTGATATTTGGAGATGATGGCCTGGAAACTGCAATTTTAACAGTCCCTTCATTTGATTCATATACTTACATCTGGTTATGAAATTTTTAGCTGAAAGAGCAGTCATTGTCAAAATAAGTGGACATTAGTGTCAAGGATAAATAGGAAAAGAAAGGAATATTGAAGAGGTTCAGGGATCAGAGGGTGGACTCCAGCAAGACAAGATCTGCACCTGAGCTGAGGGTAAGGACAGAAAGGAGGTCACTCCAGAAGTGATGGGGTCAGCACAGTGGGTGAGAAGGTGTGGAAGAATTAACTAAGGGATTGCAATAAAGCTAGAAATTCGGAGCTTCTGATCCTAGCAGAATAGAAAACATTCTAATTTTACAAACCAGGGGGCTGTAGGTTACTAGAGTGCAAAGTAAAGGACTGAGGTTGTCAGGCAGAGGGGCTACATCTCTGGCCAGCAAAGCCTTGGATAGTTTGTTTTGTTTTCCTCAAAACATTGGCCAGGGAATATACAACATGTTCAGCTGTAAATACTTTTTAAATTTACTTATCATTCATAGAAAATAAAAGTGAAAGACAAAGGGAAGATCACCTTGGAAGACATGCAAAAGGCTCAAATATCAAAATATTAGAGTGAATACCCTTTAGAAAATCTATAGGGCGCACAGGTGAAGGGCAGGTTGTGGACAAAAGGCACACAGAACATTTAAGGGGGAGCTGTTTAGGAATGCCAAATTGGTTATATATTCAAAAGCATCATTTCAAGAACTTAGCTTCATTTGGGACAATGAATTAAAATTTTTTCTGTTAATATTTTGAAGATAAGCAGAATTTTTCATTCAAGTAATGTTCTTTAGATTGTGCCATAAATTTAAAATTAATATTAAAATATTATTAATATTAATACTGTCAACATAATTTGCTTATTTACTGGTGTAACTTTAGTATTGACTTCCTTTATCCATCTGAATAAATGAGCATGAATTTTTAATCTTATGAAAAGAGAAAATAGAGTAAAAGGCATAACTTTTTTTTTTAAATCCAACTGAAAATGTAGACTGTGTCAAGGATTATAGTGAGACTTTCTACATTTCAATATAGCATTCATTCCTGGAACACGTCAGCCTCTGCACAGTGACCTAGTGTGTTGATCTTCATAAAGAATAAAGTAGACCATTATGTAGACACACTTCCATTTTGGAACCTTAGTGCCAAGTGTTAATGGTGTCATTATTCCAAACAAAGTGTGTTTGGAACCATTGCTTTTTGTAATATGTTTCTTGTGGGAATTTTCATAAAGCAACTATAGTCTCCAAGGTATTCACATTGGATAGAAATATAGAGATTTTCTTCTTACTGTCTGTTATGCTAATGTTTTTGTTAATTGGTAAACTGGTTGGTCCTTTTTATAAAGAAATGTCTACTTTTAAACTTTGCTAGCTGTCTTTAATACACACACACACACACACACACACACAATCCTCTAAGTAAATATAGGTCTTCTATAGGTGGTACCTTTGGAGGGAAGTATAAATAACATACCGGGGATGGAGCTTACTCTTAAATTAATATACATTCTTAAAATACTTCAATATTAAAGTAGGATGTAGTCGAGACCATTGTTCTTTAAGACACTTGTTTTTCTAAGAGAGTTTTTTAAAAACTTTATTCTGTGAAGATACAATTTTTTCTTTTAAATAGCAGAATCAAATCAAACTCTAGAATTGTGTGAAATACATAAAATTTGGAAACTGCATTATTCAGAATCACTTATCTTACAATGTAATGAGATTATATTATAATCTTATTTTGTCTACCTGTAACATTTCTAGGTTTGTATGTGTGTATACATATACATATATACACATGTATGTATATACATTCACTTATACACATAATATTTATGCAAGGAAAAGTTGATAAAACTATTTTCAGAAGAAATTAAAATAATTTAAAAAGTCTTGGTATATTTGTGTTTAAAAATGCATCAAATGTAATAAAGGGAATTGCATAAGTGTGATGTAAGTCATATTGTTCATTCATATTTTCAACAACTCAGCATTTAATTGTTGTTGATTAGGGTACTATAGTTTTAAACAGATAACTCAGGATACTTGTTATTATTTTATAGGTGCAGAGATTACCCTGGTAATATTATTAGATACTTTAATTGCATTCTATTGAAGAGCTAATCCCCATTAGAAATAAATACTTAAAATAAAAGAAAATATTTGTATCTATAAATATCACAATGCCTAGAAGGTAATTAGGCTATGGTTTCTTTATCTTTGTTCAAAAAATTAATTTGTTTCACAATCACCAAATATAAAAATAAATCATTTAAAAAGTATCTTTAGGCACATGCAGTGGCACAGGCCTATAATCTCAGCAGCTCGGGAGGCTGAGGTAGGAGGATCTCAAAAGCCAGCCTCAGCCATGGCAAAGGTGAGGTGCTAAACAACTCAGTGAGATGCTATCTCTAAATAAAATACAAAAAAAGGACTGGGGATGTAGCTCAGTCATTGAGTGCCCCTGAGTTCAATCCCCAGTACTCTTAAAATAAAAAATGTCCTTAATTAACTTCATCAGTTAGGCCTATTCACTGACTCTTTTATAACTAAGGAGTCAGGTACTCTTACATATTACTCCCTTGTTGGAAATGCATTAAGTTTCTGTATGACCAGTTGTTACTAGGGTTTTAATATATACCCACAGAAAAGAAAACAACTAACCAGTCCATCAGGGAGATTAAAACTGAGACTGTATTCTCAGAAGTGCTAAGCTCAGAGGGAGTTAATAAGCTTCCAGGGACTGAGGGCACAGTAAGATAGGAATTTTATTAATCATTGTTATCCTTTAGCAGTATGTATTCAAATTATAAGAAAGAATAAAAGTATGTATGTGCTGCTTAAGTGTTAGGGTGAAGTATACTGATGTTTTATATTTACAAACCGTTTTTTAATAAGATAGTTTGATGGGGATGTATAGATATGTGATAAAAGAAATATAGAAAAAGGTTGATTGTAGAATCTATAGTGGGTTTGCACATGCTTACTGCACACTTTAACTTTTCTGTATATGCAAACATTTTTATGATACAATTTTGGAAAATTATTTTTATCAGAAGAAAGGTTATTACATAATTGTTGAAGGCAGTCAATCTGATAAGGCACAAAGAGAGATGCCAGTAATAACATGGTTCAACTCCTTATAAGTAAAACTACAAGCTATTCTATATTCTAAAATAAGTGCTTTTTAAAATAAGTAAATCTATGCTTTAGCTAAATTCCTTTCAGATTTACACATATATTTTGAAAAGAGATTTTGCTCTCTTCTCTAGATCACATGTTTATACCTAATTATTTTTTATGGTTGTCTATTATTTAAGGCTAACCTAAAGTTATCACCTTGTGCTATATTTTAGTCAATGAGCTTATTCAGTTTTATGGTTCTCTCTGGGTATTTATAGAGTGTACTTTATACTGCATTTCTAGTTCCCTATAACCAAGGAAACAATCTATACTACTGTATTTCAAATCATTGCCATCCTGACCATTACTTCATTTGCAATAAAAATCACAAACTGTGCAAGTGCATTTCATACATGCTCATTTTTTTTTCAAGTGTTTATAAGTAAATGTGTGTTCAGCCTTGGTGTAGAGAAAGTCACAGACCCCCCACATGGTGGGATTTGTGTGAGGCTTGATGGGATATTAAGGGTGCATTCCCATGAGGCTCCTTTCCATGGGAATTTCCATGCTTTATTCCAACTTTCTTATTTTAATAAAATATGTAAGTATTCTCTTGAAAGGTAAATGTTATCACCTGCCATAAGTTTTTAATTAATATAATGTCCCAAACAGTCCTAAGAAAATTTGCATGGGCAGAGTTCAGAGCATAGGAATTCTCTGCAGTCTGTAACATCTGAACTTTCTTCAGATCAGCAGGCACAGGAGATTTGGTAGTTTGAAAATTATGTGTTAAGGACCAAGCAATAAGGTATTTTAATGCTGAAAACGGCAGTACAAAAGGGTTTTTTGAAGGTTAACTTTGTGTCAACTTGACTGGGCCATGGTACCCAGGCATTTGGTCAAACATTACTCTGCATGTGTCTGTGAAGACATTCAAAAGGTTGAATGAGATAAACATTTGAATTGGTAGACTGATTAAAGCAGATTCCCCTCCCTAATGTAGGAGGGCCCCATCCAAGGAGTCTAAAGAGAACAAAAAGTCTCATCCACCCACAAGGAGGTGGGAATTTCCTTCTGACTGACCTGAGTTATCTTTTTCTTTTTCTTTTCTTTGCCTTTTGACTTGGACTGAAACATCTAATCTTCCTTGTTTTGGAATCTGCAGGCACTCAGTGAAACTATACATTGGCTCTCCTGGTTCTCAAGCCTTCAGATTTGAACTGGAACTGCAAGATCTGCTCTCCTGGTTCACAGGCCTTTGCACTAAGACTACACTACTGGCTTTCCTGGATCTCCAGCTGGTCAACTGCAGATCTTGGGATTCTCATCAGTTTCCATTGTCATGTGAGCCAATTCTTTGTAATAAATCTCACTCATAGAAAGATAGATAAATAGATAGATAGATAGATAGATAGATAGATAGATAGATATCCTATTGGTTCCATTTCTCTGGAAAACTCTGACCAATACAGACTCTCCTAGATGAGATGATAGAAGGAGAAAATCTCCTTGTCAGTTGGCTAAGAGAAAATTTGGATAATCTATATTCACATATGTATGTAATATTTGTTCTAGATATGATAACCCAAGAAATCTTGAAAAACAAAAGATTATTATGTCTTTGCTACGAAATCACACTTATTCATTTAAGCAATGAATTAATGACATAGTCATTATAATGCTTTTGGTTCTGTTATTGATATACATTAAAATATTGTCATTAGGTTATAAATCACCAGTCAATATCAATATATGTTTAAAAACATTGCTAATACATAATCTTAGGAATTTTCTTTTATTCTTAAATTATTATTGACTATTTTAAACATCAGACTGCATATTCTGTTAGTTTTCTGTTGTTTTACTATTTGCCAGGCATAATAAATAGCTCTCAGTTTCTTTTACTGTAATATTCATATTAATCTTTTATGCACTTACCCACCTAAGTTCATTTTCATCATTCCAAACTTGTCTTCCACAGTCCAGATATGTAGTTGTACTCAGATTATAAACTATTCCTTTTCGGGCACAAATAATGTTGTCTTTTGATTACTTAGTGATATAATTTGGTGATATGAGATCAAATTATATTTATGTTGCTTTCTCTTGCCTATGGCTGACAATGATCATGTCACTTACAACTTGGGCTTACTCTAATAACCAGGAAAAGGTAATTCAATCATGACTTAAGTACTCACTGTGGTAAAATTTGTCTAATAAGTAGGTGAAATAAGACCCAAGATCAAAGAACACTCACTCTGTGAGCAAACACTATCCTATAAGTAAGTATAAGTGTGGTCATTTTAAAAAATAAAGAAGAGATTAAGGTGGCAACAATTAATAAAGCAAATAAAAAATTGTAAAGTGATCATGAAATCAATAACTATGAAATTATCCAGCCATAGAAACTACAAGACAACTAACCCTTATTAAAATTAAAAAATTAAGAAAACATCTCAGGTTATATGATGCATTTGTAAGAGGTATTGTTTGAAAACAGATTTTGTGAACTTTTTCATTATCTTGACCAAAGTATGGTCAGAAAAATCTCTCATTCTTTTTTAGATACTCTAAAATTTAGAACTTTATAATAGGAATTTAAAGATTTCTTAATATCCTTTGGGCAAAATTCAATATAAAATCTTACACTTGTATGGAATCTTAAGGTCAATATGATGAACTGAATAGGAAAAAATCAATGTAAAAACCTGCACTGGTACAAGATGCTATGATGATATAGAAAGAATAGCATTCAAATAAACAAAAAATCGTGTAGCTATATGATGACCCTCTCCCTCCTCTCTCCCTCCCTTTCTCTCTCTCTCTCTCTCACACACACACACACACACACACAACACATACACTTTCTGTGTGTGTGTCTTTGTCTCTCATTAATTTTGCTGTTCAATTTTAACCAATATAGAAATATATTGCTGTGTTACCATTAGCCTCTCTGGTTAAACACTATACACTTCCTGGAAAGGATTTTGAAAATAATCATTACCCTTTCTGATTTTGTTTCTTCCTTTGCTTTGTTTTTGTTTTTATTTTTCTTAGTTTAGGATTAGAAAGAATTTTTACAAACCATTTGTATATGTATAAACTTGGAGAAGTTTACCTGGTTTATGCAAAGATTTCTAAAGTGCAAGAATAAGGTAAGGAAGGAAGACGAACTATACAGTACCCCCCCAAAAAGAAGAATAAATAAATAAATAAATAAATAAATAGGAAAATATGGAAAGACTAAATGAATGAATAATTGTCTTTAATAACATTGTTTTATTTTATCTATGCAGTTTTCTATAAGGTTGCAGAAGCAATTTCCTTTTTACTTTAATTTATTTGCCTTTCAGTCTCAGTAATCAGATAACCTCTTTGTGCCTGTGTGTGTGTATGTGTGTGTTTCTTTGTTGTGGTACCATACTGTTTAAACATGTAAGCTTAGCATTTGAAGAAAGTTCTATGTTGAAATGAAGCTTTTAAATATTATAACCAAGTTAAACAGTTTTAAATCTTTGAAAACATTCTTTTTTTTTATTTTGTTTGTCTCACATTTACAATGAAAAGAATTTAAAAGAAACACTAAAATCACACCATTAGCCACTGAGTAGAGTGCATGTAAGGAAAGTGGGCTCTGGACTCTTTCCAGGAGGGCTTAATTGTGGTTCCACAATCAGGACATTGTTGCACCAGGCTTTACCTACCTGGCAGATTTACACATAAACTCAAAACCATAGTATAGAAAAGCTCCAGTGACTATAAATATTTGGCCATAAATCTAGCAAAAGCTGGAAAATACAGAAGAATAAAGAAGATATCAAAATTAACAGTAAGAATCAGGTGAGAAATTGATTAGTATGTTGCATAACACAAATTCTCCTTCAGGTTTGATTTGGTGAGTGATCCTAATTACAGGGAAATAGTTTTGTTTTGTTTTCAGAAAAGTACATATAATTCTTAGAATTTTAGCAGCTCAGAAATGGACTAGTTCACTAGGCCAACAAATAAGTACCAAGAATTTTGATTATTAAACAGTTATAGCCAAACAACCTAGTAAGTATTTATGTCCCGATAACCTAAATTGAAAAAAAAAATGAAAATAATACTTTAATTCATTCTGAAATTATTTACTAATTACTTATGAATAAGGTGTATGCATATGTTGGGCACTTTACTACTTTTCATACCTTGGAATCTGATTGAGCACTGGGAACCTCATTACCTGTTCCACAAGGATTTTCAGGAGATACTTGATTTTATCACATCACCTGCTGAGACCAACTTCACACAGCTATGATGTCCTAGAAAGGAATGTGCCCTCACTAATGTTGAAACTGTGAAATACCTTGACTACATGACTCATACGATAGATGTTGAGCCTTGTTATATTTACCTTGAAATTTTAAAATAGCCCACAGCCTGCTAGATGAGTCCACTTATCACTGCAAAGTTACCTTAGTGCATAGTCCTGGAATCACAAATTTAGGCTATTAGATACCAATGTCAAGTATAATCCTTGAGTTTTCAAATTGAGAAGTGAAAAAGCCTTTGCTACATGGAAAGTGAGTGGGAAACAACCATCAAAGCTCACAGTCCTACCTCTTAATCTTGGTATTTTTAAATTTTTTTCTCAGTCCAGATATTGCAAGTACTTCTTAGTATTCACAGTATAATTGTAATTTTGGAGAGTTTGTTGGCCTACATAGTGATGTAGCATGGGACCATTATCATAGCTTGAGGCAAGTGGTACTTATATATTTTAAATAAAATAATAGAATAAATGCCTAGTAGGGCTTTTTTTTTCTTTGACACAGTATTTTATGATTTGGACTAAATGTTTTCCAAAGGTTCTAACTATACCTTTTCACTCAGGAGAGCTACTTGTTTTAACAGTCTGTATGAGGTATATTGTACTGAGAAGAGGAATATGCCTTCTCATGTATATATCCAAACTACAAATAAACCTGGAGTGCTTCAAGGGGAGCATTTGAGTGTGTATTCCATTTTATCTCAGTTTTGCATTTGAATAACCCAGTTAACTATATAAATAATGTTTCCTTTTAAAAACAAATATCATATAGAATCAGCTAAGGCCCTTACTGGATTTTATCTGGATTATAAGAACCCAAGAATGAGAGTGTTAAACTAGATCTGTTGCTTTCTGAATAAACTGTGAGCAATAATGTCCCCATTGACAGTAAAGCAAGGTATGCTAAAATTAATAGTCAAGAGTATAGACTACCTATTAATGAAAAGAAAAAATATGATGGAAGCAATATTTTCTTGCAATATTTTAGACAGGGTTGGATAATATTGATCATTAGCAATGATACTTAATAACTGACATTCTTGTGAGTTCAAATTTTGACTTATTCATTTTCCCACCTATTCATTTTTTTTGAGAGAGAGAGAGAGAGAGAGAGAGAGAGAGAAAGACAGAGAGAGAGAGAGAGAGAGAGAGAGAGAGAGACAGAGAATTTTAATATTTATTTATTTTTTTTAGTTTTTCAGCAGACACAACATCTTTGTTTGTATGTGGTGCTGAGGAATGAACCCGGGCTGCACGCATGCCAGGCAAGCGCGCTACCGCTTTAGCCACATCCCCAGCCCCCACCTATTCATTTTTAAAATTGCAATTTCTTACAGTCTACTTTGTTATCAAATGTACATACTTTTAAACAGTTGCAGTCATAATCTCTGAATGCGATCATGATTAGCTGGCTTTTATTGGCAGGATACTTTTAATTTTTATTCAGATTAAAATCATTTATCATCTACTAAAAAGTAGGTGTTTGAAGGAATGAAACACAGCACTAGTACTGGGCAGGAAGGTATATCTGGGACATTGTGCTCACTCTCAGTCGAAAGACTTCTATAAATCTGTGGAGAGATGTTGCATCGAGTTGGTCAATGAATTCAGATGATTTGGAGTGAGTAGGAAGGGCATTTCACCTATACTGTGAGTCCAGGACTGATTCTGATTATTTCACATACAACTGCAAGAAAAGAAAACAATAAATTGGCTGATACCTAGGTAACTTAAACAATATTTAGGTAATTGAGACATTGGGGGAAATAAATTATATGTAAATACAAGGTAATAGAAGAAAAATAATAATTTGATTATTTTTATTTTCATGAAATCTTATTACCTAAATGTAAAAAATATATGCAGACATATATGTATGTATGTGTTTCCATATTTTCCTTCTAAATTGATTAAATTTTCTATTATTGGTACAATTACTTTCCAGCCAGGTAGATAGTTGTTTTAGTTAGCTTTTTCACTGCTGTGTTCAAAAGACTTGACAAAAACACTTTTAGGGGAGGAAAAATTTACTTGG